TTCCTAAATGCTGCAAAGAGATAAGCGTGAGACACTTAACTTCTATGTTATTATCTCTCCAAAAGGGCAGTTTACAAAGTTGTTGATGTGTCTAGAAGGCACAGAGCCTGGTAACTGACCACAGCATTTCTACTGTATCCCTCAATGTGCATAAACTGTTGTTGATATATCCACAGGGTCAAGGAAATTGCTGCTTTTATGGATTGGCTTTTACTGTCAAGTACCTGAAGTGGTGCCAGCCCTGCTCTCCTTTCTTATTGTTTTAGAAGTCTATTTTCTTTAATTTTGTTGTCTACAGAGGCAGTAGATTTCTGCATGTTTCTCTTAACAGAGAAGCTGTAAAGATGGAGAATTTGGAAATTCTGCATCTTTCCTTAAGCTGGTATGATATTTTAGGGCATTTTTTCCCCCCACATGTAAGCTCATCAGGGAATTAAACAGAACTATCCCTATTACTTGAAGTCAAATAATGCTGCTTTGTTATTTCTGCCCAGTAGAGTAGGCTAACTATAAAATTAAATCACGATAGTCTTAGGACTCTTAGTAGTGAATAAGAAAGAAGTGTAATTTTAATGATTTTCTTTACTTCTCTTTTTATAAGCAATCCTCTTCAAGCTGTATTTTGTTAGAGCTTGCTGCAGAAAGCTTCACAGTTTTTTTGTGACAATTTTTTTCTTCCTTAGACAGGTTAATATTTCAGGAATATGGGAACCTCTTCCTATTCTCTTAACCTTCTAAAAGGCTCCCTACAATTTTGAAACCAACTCTAAAATTGTTTTGTTCAGAAACTCAGAACCTCAGTTTTGATTCTTCTTTCAATTCTGTCGAAAAATTCTGTCAACATTAAGTGTTTTAAAGCAAGTTAAAGAGAATGACAGTGCATCACTTTTATGAATAAACCTTGCACTTCTGGAGCCAAATGCCCAGCTCCAATGGGAGCAGCATGCCAAATACAAAGCTGCTGGGAAGTTCCACTTTGTTAGTAATGTACATTTAATGGTTTTTACTATAGAATTTACTTACAAGTATATTCTACCTTACCTTTTTGTTAAAAAACTTTGTTTTCCTAGGAAGATAATTCTTGGTGACTCTGTGGCAGGTGTGCATAATAAACGGGTTTGTGCAGCTTTCCAAGTTCAGTTTTTCAAAACAGTAATAAATGACATACTTGACTCGTTCATTTTATTAGTGCTTAGCAATGTATCTGTAAGGTAAAACATGGGCAGGTATTCTTCCCAAGAATGCCAAGGCGGTGGAAGGATTAAAAAAGGTGTATTTCAGATGCTGCACACACTGGGCCCCCAGGGGAAAAAGGCAATGCCCTCATCTTCCCTAAGGCTTTTTGTATCTTCTCTCTCTTCTCCCTCACTATCTCTCACCCGAGGCGGCCTTGTACATGTCTGCAAACATGTTCTCTCTCTTCGTACCAGGGAGATAGCTTGCTCACAGCTTCTCCCTGTGACTTTCTCTGAAATGCAGAAGGAAGAAAAAAAACCACCTAACCCGTTTGAGAAGGTATTTCACAGTCTTCCTGAGCGAATTTCTGTTACAAAGTCTTGCACAATTGCACCTGTCCCTATGGTATGTAATAATGGAAGGGAGAGAGGAAGGTGATTCTTTGGACAGAGACAGTGAACTCACAGCTTTGAAAATTATTGTGGAAACAGCTCACGGAATAATAGATAGGTCCCTTTTTTAAAAAATCTCATCTAAAAGTCTCTGAGGGAGAAATTTAATGATGTGGTGTTATTCTTTGATAAGAAATACCAGATACTAAGTTCTGAAATATCATGAAATAAAGACAAAATTGATCAAGGATATCAACATTTGAGAGTGTAATTCAAGGTTCATAGCTTCTGACTCATTATAATCTTGAAGATTTCTCTTCATGGAGATGTATCTGATTTATCGGCAAATTCATCAGTTGGTGCCAAGTTTTCATAGATACACAAGTGTTAGCATTTATATATTTTTTTTTTTTTTTTTTTTTTTTTTTTGCTAAGCCCACATTGCTAGTGTTATTTCATAATTTTGAGTATTTGTGCAGGGGCAATGCATAATGTCCCTTGCATGTTTTCCTCTTCTAAACTGCCATTGTTCTGAATGGTAATGTAATAACTTCAGTAAGAAAATAGAGGTGTGGGTTACTTAACTAGCAGGATGACAGTTGCTTATCATGGTTATTTTCTTCCTAGGTGTCTCTACCAAGGCATTTCAGACCTAACACAAAAATTATTCTGATATTGAAGACTTTAATAAATAAGCTTGAAGTAATTTATTATTTGTGCTAAGAAATTACAATTTTTATATCCTTAGCTACTGAACCCATTATTCAGCATTGTTCCATGAATAAGTACTGGTGTGCTGCACTAAAATATGTTATGTTTTAATGCAAGAAAAAATGCACGAGTCCTTTTCTAGTTTCAGTTGTCACGTTCTTCACCCCCTTGAATAGTATTCCTGCCATGAGGCCTAGATATATACTGTTGTTTCTTCATCCCCTTATCCCCTCCTACCTTATTGATTCAGTCATTTCGATATTGCACTCTAGAAATAAATGACTCTGCTTTCCAAAGGCTTAAAAATCATCTCTTTTGATGACAACCATTTATTTATTTTGAAAAGTACAACCAAAAGACTAGCAGTTATTTGACTAAACTCTGAAAAGTTCTGCATTTTTAATGTCTAGGGAGAGTGCATAGCTAAAAAATGCAAGAATTTAAACTCCACTCTTTGTTTAAATTTAAAGGAAAAAAGTTCACCTAGAGAACCCCTAGAGGACATTGACTTTGCAGTTAGTCTTATAACCAACACGCAGTAGGATTATACTACAGAAGTAATTTATTTGGGTTTAATAGCTAACTTGCCATATGGAGTAATGATAAGCTAGTTTTTTTCACTTGTTCTGTATGGGCTTCTCTGACTGAGTGCAAACAGTTATTTTGTGTTTGTGAATTTAGGGGTGGAGGGGATATCCCTAGGAGTAACTTCTTTATTAGTTATATCTTCAGATTACTAGGAGGAAAGAGAATAGGCATATCAGTGCAGCATGCATGCCTGGTAAGAAGCACTCCTGCAATTACAGAGTAACTAGAAACAATAACAAAGATCAAATGTCACTGTGGAAGTCAGCAATAAGACGGAATTTCCAAGGAAGAAAGTATTGGTAAGGGATTCTGTGAGATGAACTGAAGATGATCAACTTGTTTTTGTGTGGTGTTTTGTTTTTTTTTGGCTTGGGGTTTTATGGAGATGAAAACTTACTAGTTTTAAAATTGTATTTACTGGGATTTGAAAATGCTGAAGAGAAACTTTCACTTTCAAGAACAAGCATTTGTTCTAGTTCAAGAAGCATCAGTTTTGGCAAATAGCTGGCAACAGTGTTTATTGTAGGTGGTTTTCATTTGCCAACTGAAAGAGTTACACGTTAATAATTGGGTTCATTTTTTGTAATTGTTCTTACTGATAAGAAAAGGAATTTTTTCTAAATTCTATTGATGCAATGGATTTTCTTTTTCTCAGAAAATGTTTAAATAATTATCTAGACTTTTCTGTCACTAGATAATGAGCACTGTTTTCTCCAGAACTGTACATTTTTACAAAGCACCTGTCCATTTTCCAGTGTGCATCTATGTTCTACCAACAAACTGCTTATTAAAAAGTTTCAGAAGTTATGTCTGATAATGACTTGTCATATAATTGTCACCACATTTTAGAAAGAAAAGTCTGAATTAGAAATTTAATTTTTTTTTATTTTGGAAAGCATCAAAGAACTAGTTAGTTTATTCATAGCTACATAACAGTTAATATTTTACAAATAAAACTGTAGTAGATATGAGTTTTTATTATATCTTGAAACATTTCATCAGTGCGGTAGCTGTACAATAAATGGGTAAATATTGATTTCTAAGTGACATTTAGAAAGAGGAAATGCAAACTAAGGTGCAAATATATGTAAATCAAAATTGTAACCTACATCAGTGTTTATGTGTAGTTATTCTTTCTAACAAGGAGCAAAGATGTCTCTACTTTTTTTAAACCTAGAAGTTGCAGGTCTAACCTTTTTTCCTTTTTTTTTTTTTGTTTTTTTGATAATATTATTTTAGTTGCTTATTGCAAAGGTGACATGTTCCTGCTTTTAGGGATACTTTTGTCAGGATGTGACTTACTTTTTTCAGAGAGAAATCATTCCATTACTTTGTCCCCAATAGGCGAAAATGCCAGGCTTTGTTAATAACAGAGGAATGTGTCTCTTTTTTCCCTTTTTCAACAAAACCTGAAAGATTAGGTCCTATAAGTTGCAATAACCTAAACTTTAGTCGTAAAATATTTTTGGATATTAGGAGAAACCAAATTGCAATGAAGATGTTGCATGTACAGTGCTTTCCTTTGAAAAATGAAAGGTTGTTTACATTTCCTTGTTTATGAGTCTGTGTTTTGAGAGTTGTGGTGTACGTTTATATTTAATACCAGCAATCATTTTGGATATCGAGATGTGGAGTTGGAGTTGTATTTGTGGATGTTGTTGTTTTTCATATTGTAAGCATGTATCATCCAGGATAATACTGAATTGTTTTCTCAAATTTTATCTCCTGGTATAACAGACTGTTCTTACAGTCTTTGCTATTGACAAAAAAGGGATCACTTCAGATTTTCTTTTACTTCAAATTATGTTTTGGAATTCTTTCTGGTAATGATGTTGTAGAAGATATGTCCTCTGTCATTTTGCAGGAAAAAGTTTCCAGCGAAGGAAAAGAATTCCAGACAGTTAAATTTTTCACTCATTCTGCTTAAGTTTTGTCATTGTTCCAATTTATTCTATACTGTAAACAATATAAATGTTTTAAATTAACTAGTTATTGTCACATGAAAGTACTACTTGATTGTACTGTTGAATTTTTATGCCAGAAACCATGATGGTTGAATGGCCCAATTGGATGACACTGTATGCCAGCTCAGATTTTTGTTATGCTTATACAATTATTTTCTTGCCTCTCCAGCTGTAAGCACAAGGTGTACTTGGAAACACTACCAAATACTAGCATAATTATCCCATTTCACAATGAAGGCTGGACTTCACTCTTGAGAACAATACACAGTATTATCAACCGCACTCCAGACAGCCTGATAGCAGAAATCATTCTGGTGGATGACTTCAGCGACAGAGGTAAGGCCCAACTGCTTTTAACCTAAATTTTACAATGCAATGTGGTCTATACAGAAACTAAAGGGAAGCAAAAAGAGAGGAGAGGAGACCAGACCCAGTGGACTGTTTGCCTTGAAGTACTGTTTGATTGTTAATGGGAATAAACATTTATAAGTGGCTTTTGTTTTACTTGGCATGAATACTGAATTCCATGTCAAAGGAAAGAGTCTGTGAGCTGTTCCTTAGCCCTCATTAATACAGCATTTTGAATATATTATTTCTGAAATACTGCAAATTTAAATGTTTCCCCGTCTTTTCCTTACACTTCCCTTTTATTCTCAAAATGTATTATGTTTGACCATTTGGGATGCAACTCATTAGATTTTGTTCCTGGAATTTTATTTAGGTAGGCAGCTTCAAAAATACTAGTACAAAATAACCATGCAGAGAAATGTGACTCTTTTGAATGGAATGCGAAAAGAAGTGCTTTAGGATAGTTGATGCAAGTTTACATCCTTTACATACACTGAAATTAAGAAAACTGCAATTGCTTAATGACTTCTGCCATTATTGCTTCTTGAATGCAACACAAAAAGTGCATGCCTTACATTTCTTTAATGTATTTTAACAATTCCTTAGGTAAAATTAATCTATGATAAGGATATGGAACTGGGAAATAGTTTTTCTTTCAAATTCCGGGACCTCTCTTTGAAGTTTAAGCATGATGACTTTTGGCTTTTCTTTGGTGTTTGAGGGGTGGGTTTTCTGTTTCTGTTGAAACATCGGTTACTGGTGTTTATGTGAGGTTTGTTCTGAGTAGGTTGATAGACAACAAAAGAGAGAATTGTACCCTTTACCTAAAACCTTTGTCGCAGCTAGGACCTTAGAGCAGCAGATTTCTTACCTACTGTTGTGAGAAGCCCCTGGATAAGTGAAAGGAATAATAGTAGAGCACTGCAGCAGCAGAATCATTTTTGTAAGATTTTTAACTTGATATTTCAGGGTTTAGAAAGATGAATGCTGCACACATCTATCTTGCCCTCTCATATCTGCTGATTTACTTGCAACGTCCTTTGATGAACTGCCTCTCAGTCTGTAATACAATTTAAGAGAAATTGTAAAATGAGTACAGTTCTGACTATTCTATGTTGATGAAATCTAGACCTTGGATGAAAGTTTCCAAAACAAGAACTGCAAAACAGCGTGACCATTTTTCTTCAGGCTAACAATTTCCTAGTAGTAAACAACTTACGGGGAAGTCTGTAAGTTGATTTTATGAGGTACCTGACAAGTAAAAAATACTTTCTTTATGATGGTAGCTACTGAGGCTATGTTTGCTCAATATGGTAATACTGTAGCATTTTTTTGATCAAGATCATAATGACTATTGTTGGTGCACTTTTAAATATGTTAATATTTTGTAAAGCTTATCTACTTCCTGGTTATTAGAAAAAGAACTAGTGCTAGTAAACAGGGAATATTTGTAACTTCTGTTGCTATTTTTAGGTTAACTGCCCTAACTTAAATTGTATTGCTGGCTGAAAGTAGTATTAATTTGTATAAGACTATAAAAATTTCCATAATCTTCTTCATTTCCAGTTACATAAAGTTACCTAACTTTTCACTGAAATGCTTTTCAGCTGGAAGAAGTGGTTCATATAGCATGAAAATGTTTAACATAAGTTTGGAAAACCAAAAGATTTGTGGGAAACTGGGTCTAGAACTACCATTTTAGTAGGAGAATTAACTTCTGTTTTTTGGTATTATTGAAATAAAAATCAGAAATGTGTTTATGAATGGTTGCCAGTTTTGAACTTGGCAATGTTTGGTGTACTGTATGTTTTAAGAAGAGAAAGCATACCAAAAAAAAGTGCTGGAGTCTCTACTTGGAATTCAGAAATACTGAATTTCAGATCAGGTGAATCATTTTGGTGCATATGAAGTGTTTAATTCTTGTATTTGTATTCACAAATACAAGCCTTATATTCCAAACTATACTTAACTGAGATTATATTGTATTTTCTTGTGCTCTTTTTTCTTTTTCATGAAGTGACCATGAATGTAATAGAACTGGATTATTTTATGTTGAAAAAATGCTGCCTGATATCTATCCCTGTCTCCTCCAAGTTCATAGCAGAATCTTTTTTTAAGTAGCAGATGGCAAGTTTACTGTTGTTATTCATTTGCCCTTTCATAACATTTTCCTAGTCTGGTGAGAGAAGTAAAGGAGTGTAAAATAGTTTTTGGCCTAATCTGGCTTCAGTCGAAGTTTAAGTGTGGTCAGATGTTGTCAAAACTCATAGAATCACTGCAAGCAAAGTTTGCTACAGTGTTGAGGCAACATAGCGATTAGTGATAAATATATATCACTTTTTCTTATCCTATATTTTTTTCATGAAGCTTCATATGTCAAATAGCTGACAAATGGCTATTGCTTTGTTTTGTGAAATCAGTTATATACTATTTAAGGGATATTGTGTATGTTATTCTTATTTCCTAACTTCATGTTATAAGGAGAGTTTTCTGTTGGGAACCTGAACATCATTTGTAGGTAGTCAAAAGTGAAAATAGGATATTTCAGTAACACTGGAATTTTAAAAATAGTGATTAAATAACCTTTTTTGCTAAAGTGTTCTACTAATCAGACTCTTCCTTTTTGGTAAACATTGAGGACGTTGTTATGAAAAGTCAGTTTCTGTTAGAAATAGAGTAAATAAGAAAAAGTAAGAACTTGAAAGCTGTGTAAAAGATGGAGATTTTTTTTTTTAACTAATGCAAATATAAACCGAGAAATGCACTTAAGGAATTTTTGATAACGTATGATGAAAATGTGTTAGTGAACTGCTAGGTACTGAGCAGTTTGCTGGTTTGTCTCCAGAATTACTTGCATGCCCTTACTTTATTCATATTCACTCCTTTGGCTTTTATGATCAAACACCAAAAGCTTTAAATAATTCAAGCATAATATTCACCATAAATTATGACATTTGGATGTTATAAAAGCAAAAGGACAGCTGCACCTTTTTAAATATCAATATAATGCATACTAGAGGCTTGGTATTAAGAGGGAGGTAAGCAGATGTTATAAAATTTGGAAGTGAAATATTTGGTCAGATTTAATGGACAGATTTAATATAAAAGATACATGAAAATAGGAAGTCATCTGTGATAGTCAGAAGGAAATGTAGATTTTAAATATATGTACACAAAGTTGCAAAATTTATTTGTTCACATAATTTATAGGGAACTCTTATACTTAAAAGTGATGAAACAATGGGATGTAGAAATATGACCACGAGGCAAATACTAGACTTCTACTTAGTTTACCTTAGAAAACTATGAATAAGGGAGCTACCTCTGACATGTGCTGTTGGACACTTAAAATTTAAGAATGTTTTTACTCTTCCCCACTGATAGAGCAATCAGGTCTTCACTAGAGACTTCCACTAAATAACTTAGGTCCAAGTACTGTGGCTTTTTAACAAATTTAATATGTTAAACTTAATTAAGCAACTTAATGACGCACATGCTTTTGCATTCTAAAACATGCAAAATATTTCTGTTTTGTGATGGATTTGGGGTTGCAATCCCAATAATTCATTCATGTAAGCCTTATATTCCAAACTCTGTAAGTTGAAGATTTACCAGTTTCATAAAGGGTCACCTACCACAAAAATGAACCCTTATACTGGAGATACCAAAACATCTTTGTGTCAGGTGTCTCTGCAGTGGCCTTGTGTGTAGCTCTGGTTTTGTGATCCTGGTTTCTGGGAAAATGAGCCTTGTGGAAAGTGGCTTTTTTTTCTGGGAGTGTTTGACCTGGGATTAGCTCATGTGGTTAGAGCATGGTGCTAATAACACCAAGGTTGTGGGTTAGATCTCTGTATGGGCCATTCACTTAAGAGTTGGACTCGATGATTCCTTTGGGTCCCTTACAACTTGGAATATTCTGTTGTTCTGTGTGAGAGGTGTTTGAAATGGGAGGAGGATGGGAGGGGATTGATTTGCAGGTTTGACTTTGGGGATGGGGTGTTTCTTGTTGAAATAGTCTGTCAGCAGACATCTCTGAAAAGGGGGCAAGAAGCAGAATGTGGGCAACAGTTTTATATGGAAGGGCAAAATGAAAAAGCACACTTTCATTGGTTCTGTTATGGAACATCTTACATTTACAAAGGAGTATTCAAAATTCCAATTATTGTTTTAAAACTTTGGGGGGGACATAGATTTGCATAATTAATTAGTTAAACAGTTCATGTAGGTTGCCAACATGAGAGAGATTTTTGTGCATCAACCTTTATTTCTTTTGTGTTTCAATTACTTTATTAGCATAGTCAGACCTGTGAATTGTTGCTAACGCAGCATGTACCCATGAATGTAAAATTACCTTACCAAGCATTTTTACTTTATTCTGTTGTTCTTGAACTGGTACAGCACCTCTTATAAGAAAAAATAAACAATGCCACAGCCAACAAGTAAATTTATTAGCAGTAACAATTATAGGGTAGTATTTTAGTTTGGGAAAAAATTATCAGATTTGCCACCGAAAAAACTGAGAACTTAGCATCAACAGCTTCTTGCAGAACAGGACTATTTTCTGTCACTGGCAAGGAAGTGGTGTTTTGGTAGAAAATGACAAACTGTGAACTTCTCCTTGATGTTGATGAACCAGTCCTCTCTCTGTTATGTTCTCCTATCTCTGTCCCCTTGTTTAAGTCTGCACTGCTACCCATTTGAGAGTATCATACTGTCCCATATCTGGTACCATATGCTTTGTGCCAGATCTCTGAATAGCCCAGATTAAAAATGTGGAAGTCGGTGTGCAAAAGCAAGCTATGACTTCTTGGTCAGAGCTCAGTTTAGTTGGTCAGTGAACTTCAGTGCTAGTGATGTGCTTTGTTTTGTGTGAACAGTCTGATCTATTGTTTTTTTAAACTGTTGTTCTGTAAATTATATTAGTCATACTGTACAGTAATGATACAATAAGGGAGTCTGTGCTAAAAGCAAAGCAACTCTGTCAGAGT